GGGGGGGGCGTAGGGGAGGTGGAAAGAAGGGGAGGGCTTGCTCCGCTCCGCTCAACCCCCACTTAAACCCCTGCCGCGTGGACCGCGCTACCTCCCGCAGCGCAGCGTGCTTTACGACCGCCCTGCCCAGCTTGAGGCTCTCCTTGTGCATGCAGCTGTTGCAGCTAGTTACTCAGGCAGGCCACAGCTGCAGGATAGGAAAGGGGATGGGGGCTGGCAGGTGCACTGGACATGGCAAGGAACTTGTTTGTTCGAGGGGCGAATAATTTGCTGAGCGAACCACACCCTGTTCGAGGGGGCAAGAAATTAGTTTGGAAATTTAGGCTCAGCTGTTCAAATCCCATCTGAAGCCGACCTCGGAAGTTTTACGAAGGGAATGGGCCATTATTCTCAATTACAAATCATTTTTTTTGCAGTTAACTATGAAGGATTCAGCTTTATGTTCCTAACAGTTTAACTGATTCCATTTTGTCACAGATGTTGGTTCTCTCTCTGCATATTATTCGTACCTGCAACAGAAACAAAGCATTTTTGCCATGTTCGCTGTGGTGGCGCCATCTTTTGCCCCTCGAGTTATTGTTTCTATCCGCAGCCAAGCCGTGACAGAGCGGCGGCATTTCCCTTTCGGCGGAAAGCGACGGCCGCGCCGGGGCCGACTAACATAAAAGAGTGCTTTATTCTCGGCATCATATAATGCGGCGCGCGCGATCCCTCATTGAGATATGAAATTCAAAAACATTTGTGTCGAGAAGCAAGAATAAAAGAGAGATAGAAAGAGAGAGAGCGAGAGCGAGGGAGAGAGCGAGGGAGAAAGGGAGAGAGCGAGAGAGAGCGAGCGGGGGGTGGGAGCCGGAAAGTAAGACAAGGGCTACGCTGCGCTCAGCGCCGCCAGGCTGGCCGGCAGCAGCAGCCTCTTTGAGGCGGGTGGATCCGCGGACTGCCGCTGCTTCGTACTGCTCGCCGGTGCATTCCTCCGGGGGCGGCTGAGGCCTCCCGGCTGGAGGCGCGGGCGGGGCGGGGCGCTGCTGGGCGGGGCGGACCTCTGCCCAGCTGCCTCGTGCGCGGGGATCACTGCGCCTGCTTGTAAAACATAATTAAATCCCCCCCCCCCCACCTCAAACCCATGAGTCGCTGTGGGACTGCCGCGCGCTGAGCTGATTTCTGGCTCAAGTTTGTTAAGTAAGTCGGGCCGCATAACGATGGTTTCCTGCTCGGCGTAAAGACAGGGAGGGGGTTGTGGGAGGAGGAGGTGGGAGGGGATGGGGAAGGCGAGTCAGAGTGAGTTCAGGCTGCTATTATCGCCTCTTGTCAATTATGACATCAGCCCGAGTTTAACGCGGTCCGCTCGTCGAGAGGGGCGAGGCAGGCGGCCGTGGGGGGTGACGGACGGACGGAACAAAAGCGCCTCTCTCCATCCCTCGCCTTCCCCATCCTCTCGAAGCGTGGAAAAGTTTCCCCTCCTCCTTTTTTTGCGAGATTGAGACGTAAAGTTGTCACAAAGGTCCCTCCTGGGGACCGCAGACAATGAATCCGCCCATGCGAACGCGTGAGCGACATGCGTGCTCGCACTCGGGCGCATACATCTCCCCCCGGTCCCCTCTCTTCTGCTGAGCATCTCTGCCCCCCCCCTCCCCTCTCCAAACCATCCCACCTCCTTCACTCCTATTAGTCACCGTAATGTCTCCACGAATAATTCAGTTTGTAAAGCTTTCAGAAGAGGGGGAGAAGGAACTTGACTTGGCTTCAGCGCGTCGCCTATAGTAAGGATGTAATAATCCGATGAAGATGGAGAAGAAGGAGACCCCCCCCCCTCCCTTTTTCCACTCTCCGCCCGCTCTCCCATTTCTCCCGGAAGGCCCTTAGCAGCGTGTATCCTGTTTCGTTTTCGGACGACTCCCGCGCCTCCCTTCCTGTCTTCGATGGACGGTTTGTAGTAGTGGACACGAAAATTGCGGCACTACTTGACCGGAAACAGAGAGTGCCTAAAAAAATTATCACATACAGTCGGAGCGAGAAATTTCAACCCCTACCCGATCTAACGCATCATGCATTAATGCGCTTCGAGGATTTTTAACAGTGTACTTTGCTGATAAAAAGGAGTGTCATTTTTCTTACCCAGTGAACCATAGATTTACACTCAAACCTCAAATAGTGTTCACCACCTTAACTACTATTATTTGCCAGTCATTGTAGATAACAAACGGAAATATCGCCCTCCTCGAGTAAAGTGATATTGCACTTAAAACTGTTGTACAGGATCACACTTGAGTTTCCAAAGTTATCATTCTGACGTCGCAGCTCCCTTGTTGGGGCGAAGTGACTTAGTGAGCGAGAGACATGAGTACTCGCGCCGAGTGACTTTGTGAGCGAGTGACATTCGTACCCGCGAGCCGGGTGCCGCCGCCGAGCACCTTTGTGTGCGTGTCGCGACGGCGCGGTCCGTGCCGGTGACACGCAGCTATCTCTCTTATTTGGAGACAGGATGCGATAAGCGGCAGCCAGTAGTGGCGGCGGCAGCATCCACTGCCGAGCGGCTGTCACATGTTGCATAATGAAATGGATTTGAAAAACACATGTAAACTGCCGCCGCTGTTGCTGCCGTTGTGCAAATCGTGCCGACAAGATCTTTCTCGCCAGCTTTGGGTAGAGGAGCCGGGGGCGACTGTCCCCCATGATGTTCGATAAAAAAACAAGGATGCCAAGAAGGGACCAGAGAGGGTTTGGGATTGATAAACTTACGCACGAAATGTACTTGTATGTTTTGGTGCAAAATGTTCGCACCAACCTAAACCCACGTCTCGTTTCGCACAAATTTGTACGACAAAGGGCATGATTTCCTACGAATGAATGCACAAAAGTGTTCTAATCAACGCAGAAATGTGTGCAAAAAATTTGATTGCCTAAGTTCGTACAGATGAAGGATACAAATCCAGTTTGTGTGCACCGCTTCAGCAACGTTATTTTCTTTTGCTTTAATCGTGGTGGCAATTTAAATTGACCACATCTTCTCACAACCCCAAATATTGTCGTCTGTGAACGCCAATTTTGGCATCTTAAGACGCCAACCAGTTAACAGTGACATAGTGAAGGAGACGAAAAAAAATATACTGTCGTGGTACAATATAATCACAGTTAAAAGAGCAAGTAGAAACCTCGCTTCCCTTTGATAATTTAATATTGCATGTTCCGTGGTGCTGAGCGGGATCGAATTCGCAGGCAAACCTATCCGCACTTGGTAAACGTCTACTTGGTACCTCCTGGAAATGGTTAAAATTAATGAGTGTTCGATAGAGCCGTCCTAATGAACCAAAGTAAACCCTTTCCACCGCGCTGGATGAGGTACTCCATCTATCACTTCTGGGGCTTGGGACCTCGTTATTGGTGAGTGGACTTAACGAATTGAGTTAGAATTCACACTCAGTGAGGTCACAGTTCTTGGAATGTCATCATTGTTATTGTTCTAGGAATGCTTTGGCATTGGTTGAACGATAGACATATTGCGAATGCGAAGTGCACGAAGTGCACAAGTGCAAAACTCTGGCCTCAAGTAAAATGTTCTGAATGCCGGAGAAAATGTTATTCTTGTATTGCTCCTGACCGTTCTCGCATAGGAACATTTTACACGGTAAACAAAAAACTCGGAATCTGAGGCGTGAAAAAATTTGAAATTTTAATTTTTGAGGCAGGAAACCGACTTTTAAGGCATCCTCTCGATTCCGAGCATCCAAAGCCTGATTTAGAGCCGCTCTGCTCTGATTCCGAGGTAATGAGCTCGTAATCCGGGAATTGTCTCTCGAAATCCGAGAATCGTTTCTCGGAAACGGGTAAAAGGTGACTCGGTTTTACACCTTTACCCGAATTCGAGATCGGTAGCTCGGAATTAGGGCAACCTCGGAAATTGAGATTGCCGCCTCGGAATCCGAGTTTTTTGTTTACCGTGTAATGCTCGGATCGAGAAACCTCGTCGTTCCGAGTGCACTTCGACGCCATATAGCGGCGATTTATGAAACAATAATAAAAAGGGTTCATTTTTTGCGTGATGGGTTCCTGATTGGAAAAGTGATTGGAGTCGAGAGTGCGTGCGCTCGCTGATTGGGGGGCAGTTAGGTGCTCTCTGTGCGCTGCTGTCCGGTGGTGGTGTGCGGCGGGGGGTCCGTGCACGGACACGACGCCGAGCAGCAGCAGCAGCAGCAGGAGAGGCCCCCCGGGGCGCCCGGGCGGTGAGCTGGGCTGATCCCCGTCCCCGTCGCGGAGCCCCTGGCCCTGGCGGCGGCGCGCTCCCGCCGGCGGCGGCTCTCGCTCAGTCGCCTGCGAGCCGTCGAGTCGAGAGGACAGCGAGAGAGAGGAGAGAGAGCGCCCCCACCCGCCGCGGCCTAGGCGGCGCTACGCGGCCCGCGCGATCTGCGACTCGCGCGCGTCCCCCTCCCCCCACCACCCTCGCCTCCCCTCCAGCAGCGCCCCCCGCTAGAGTCTCCCATTGTGTGTCCGCGCGCCACATCGCGCCCCCGCAAATAACAAGAGTAATTCCCTCTCGCTGCCGCGTCGTCCTGGACGCTCCTCCGGACGCTCCGGAGGAGGATGTTTGTTTACGTGACTGTCGCGGCCGTGCGGCGGACGGCGGCGGGCGGGCGCGGCGGCGCCTAGAGTGACAGAGCTCCGAGGACTGTGTGCTGCTGCGCGCCTTTGTTCTCTGCTATCGGCGAGAAAGGTGAGCTTAGACTGACTTAATTGTTGACGACGACGACGACGACGGCGACGACAACGCGGCGGTGGTCTGGGCGGGGGGTGCCTCCGCCACGTGCAGGGGAGGGAAGCGGAGGAGGAGAGAGGGGCCCGTTTAGAGTTACCCTTTCTCCCCGTCCCACCGCTTCCAGCAGCACAACAACTTCCTCCTGCCTCGGCGGCGGCAGCGCGGTTGTTTGGTGCGCTCTCTCTGTCATTTCAGCACCGTAACACTCGTAACAGTACCAGTAATGGTCGTTGCGACCGTTAGTGTGCAGCTCTATGCAAGCACGCTTAGCGCCTGGCAGGTAGGCAACATCCCGCACTGCACTGCATGCGTGCACTGCGGGACGGCCTACCCTGGGTATCGCAGGCGCCCAGCCTAATTAGCCGAATGAAGCAGAGAAACGAAAACAACACACTGAGGGAAAAAAAGTCCGTCTGAGCACGATACGTTTAATATGTCCAGACTCAATTTTCTTTTTGATGTGGGACAAATGTCGGGAGCATTATACGAATGTTTAGTGCCTCGAAAGAAATATTTTTCTCAGTGCAGGCGTACTCTGGACGAGCCCTGAGGGGGGAGGGGGGGAGCCACTAACATTGTCGCAGGCTTGTACGAATTAACTTTTGCAGCTATTTTGTGTTCTCTTGTCGGCAAACAATTCTAGTGTTTTGGCTCGTAAGTAAAATGTCGACGATTCTCAGTCTCGTCTTGCTCTGTGGCAGCAGCAGTTTGCCCCTAATCTTGGGAGATAAAAGAAAAATGCAGTTTTGCACAAACATTTGTCTGGGTCGGTCTCTGTTACTGCCCAAGGTCGCTGTCGTTTTACGAGCGCACGAGTGTAAAGGTGGGCGGAGGACGTGGGGGGCGCTCTGGCGCTCCCGGCCCGAGGCTGCCTCCTGCGTGTGGGGCAGCGAGGCGCCGTGCACCGCCTACGTAGGCAGTTCCCCGCGCAGCCTAGCGCACCTACAGTGTCTGCGGGGTGCACGCGCCACCCCCTCCCCTCGCGCCAGGAACACAATTCAAACAACCATCATTATTGGCAGACGACATTGTCTGTGGATTTTTTTTGTCTGATACCTTATCACGGAATATTTCATATTATTTTCCAACAGTTTCTATCTCTCTCTCACTTCTCGAGATGGCTCAATATTGGAGATCGTGCATCCAACTTGTCTTGTATTCATTTTATTTTTGCTCGCAGCAATGATGGTGCGTTTGGAGGAAGCCCTCCTAGCAAAAAAACAACAAAAACGACAGCATCGTTTTAAATGCATGTTATTGGCAAAGGTCTTTTAGTGGGCCGCGCACGGCGGCACTGTCGCCCTCCGGCCCCCGCTTTGTCCCCACGGGGAACCCAGACCGCAATCCCCCCCGCCCCCAGTGGCCCCGCGGGAGCTCTGATAAGATGCTACGAGAGCTGCCTCTCACAGCAGCCTCACCGACGGCCATCTGGCAGGGGGTACCCGCGTACACACCCGCGCGGATTATACGTTTTTCCCTTCGTTTCAAGTCACGTCGCGAGCACGCGGCTCCCATCATCCTCACACCGTGCAAACCCGGCCAACCAACCAGTCCTCTTCTCTTCCAGCAGCAGCCCCTCGACCGCTGCTCCTGCACACGCGAGACGCAAAAGGGATGCAGAGCCGCCCCCTCATCCCCCCC